CAAAATTGTTTGCAATTTACATCCAGTTTCCTTATATATAAATTATTTATCATTATCCCTTCTTTATTTGACTAGGTATATCCTATATCATAACATTTCCCCCCTAATAGTCAAAACTTGACTCTATCTAATTTAATTCTTTTTTTCATTGACCTTTATATATAATCCAAATGGTTTTCTGATCTTCCCTTCATGGGTATCATTCAATATTCATATCCAATTATGGCTTATCATAACACTATACATTGTGTACATTATTATCATTATCAATTTTTTTATTTAACTATACCTATTATCACTAAATTTCACTAAGTTTAACTAGTTTTAAATTATACTCTTCCATCTATCAACCTGTATCTTTCCATTGACAAAACAGTCTCATGTCTGGAAGAACCAGTTGTTAAATTACTTGAATCCCACCACTGCTTCCAGCCCTATGATTCTATGGAAATGTTGGACCTTTTTGAGGAATATTTTTTTTCAACAGCTTACTATGGATTGGCTTTCTTAGTGGCCTCCTATCCCAGAACTAGTCAGCTCTGACTCTGCTTAAATTTGATTGGCTTTCTCGGCTAATCACCCAAAGGAATATTTGAACTATAAGTCCCTTTGTAAATTCTTCCTGGACCTTTTATTTTTCTTTTCTTTTAGCAGAGGAAATAAATCAAAGAAAGTGTGTCAAAAAACACACCCCCTCTATCCCACCCAGCGTGTGTTTATTTTGGAGTAGAAGATTGATAAGGGTTGACAAAATAGAAGGCTTTTTCGGACACCCTGCCAATGTGTCACTGAGCTGATGGTTGGCCATAACCAACAAGTATCGGAGAGCTGCTTCGGGGGACGATAAACCTGGTTTCCAGTGCAGATGGCTTGGCGTAAGCTGATTCGTGGGTCGTTCCAAGCTAGATCAGAGGCCATTTAATTGTGTGAATGCATAGATGAGCAGAGGCAGAAGACCCATTGAAATCATCCAGGCAATGCCATCCCTAAGCTCGGATCCTGTTCAGCCTCTCAGTGATTCTCCACTTTTGCAACTTTCATAAGCGTTGGACTCCACCTCCCACAATTCCCCAGTCAGCATTGATGGACTCCACATTCCAGAATTCCCCAGTCAGTATCTATGGCATTGTTTCTCAACCTTGGCCGCTTGAAGATGAGTGGACTTCAACTCCCAGAATTCCCGAGCCAGCCATGCTGTTGCGAGCCAGTGCGAACCAGATGAATCCCACCCCTGGGTGGAGTCCATAGATGCTGGCTCGGGAATTCTGGGAGTTGAAGTCCACCCATCTTCAAGTGGCCAAGGTTGAGAAACAATGATCTATGGACTCCACCTCCCAGAATTCCCCAGTCAGCATCTATGGACTCCACCCCCCAGAATTCCCCAGTCAGCATCTATGGACTCCACCCCCCAGAATTCCCCAGTCAGCATCTATGGACTCCACCCCCCAGAATTCCCCAGTCAGCATCTATGGACTCCACCCCCCAGAATTCCCCAGTCAGCATCTATGGACTCCACCCCCCAGAATTCC